TTATATCCTGCAACAGTACCTTTAACACCATCAAACAACAACATCTGCCTATCCCAGGTCCTTTGGAAGGGCTCAATAGGTGGATAAAAATGCCAAATCCAGTCTAAACATCTGGCTGACTGTACGACCCATCATCATCATCATCATCATCATCATTAGATTTCTCCCCCGCCCATCTCCCCCCAATAGGGGACTCTGAACGGTTCACACAAAACAATAAAACCATAAATACATATAGATACATAAAACATAAAAATGTAAAAAAAGAATACTAAAAAAGAGGAAGACAGTCCAAGATGAAGAATCTGGGGCTGAAGACAGCAGGCCTCTATGGGGCTAGCCACCTAATAATAATAATAATAATAATAATAATAATAATAATAATAATAATAATAATAATAATAATAATAATAATAATAATAATAATAATAATAATAATAATAATAATAATAATAATAATAATAATAATAATGACACTTTATTATTTTATTTATTTTTATTTATTATTATTATTATTAAATAATATTTAATTATTTCTTGTTGGCGAAAACCCAGACCAGCCACAACAGGCTACAGTCTGTTTGTCCTTGGCCAGTAATTGGCACGTACTGGCAGGAAACAAGCCATGTGACTGGCTGGCCTGTTTTTGCTGGCAAGCATGGAACAAGATGTGTTTTCAATGTGCCTGAGCATGTGCAGGGTTGCCATTACACAAGTCCCATCCCACAGCAGCATCGTAACCCAAGCACATAAAGGAAGAGCTTATGCAGTGATGTCACTGTGGAGCAGGAGTTTAATTTGACCTGCTTTGCTGTGAGTAACAAGAACTCATTTAATGGGATGAGAGAAACCTTCATCAGTCATGCAGGTTGGGAATTTTGGAAAGCAACCCCTGGAAAACCACCATAGACCAATCGTTCTCTTTCAGCCTCAGCCATTTGCTCTGTAAAATGGGAGTAATGATACAGAAAACACAAGATCAAAGTTGTGAAACACTTTGAACCTTTGAAGGATTACATCATCGTAAGGCTGGTCTGGCATTGCGTAATACAATAAATGTTGTTAAAATGGAGAAATCTACTTTGTAGCTGTATGTAGGGGCTTCCAAGGAATGTCCAAAGAAGTCAAGAAGGCTGATTGTGTAATCAAAGCCCCACCCCTGTATTCTGTGTGTTGCATGCATGGGTCATGAAAACAAGCAGTGGGGCTAGAATCATGTGGTTGTGATGGCCAACAACCACGCCCGCAAGCTATGCGAACCCCGAAGGATGGTTGCGTGCATCCGGACTATTGGGTTATTCATTAACATGGCTCAGTCCTTGTCCAAAGAATGGGTGGGGCAGCTGGTTAACTTGGTGGCTTGGTTGTTGTGCAAACTTGGGGAAGACTCTTGCTGACTCAGCCTCACCTGCACAGTCGGACCACAAGCAGTAAAGCCAAGGACAGCTAAATCTCCTGGGGACTGACTCCCTGGCCGTACCCATGCTTGGCAACAGCATGGAAGTGGTCGCCGCTCTTTGCCCCAGAATGTTTTGGCGAAGTCGCAGCCCTGCAATTCCCCGGAGGCCTCCCCTCCAAGCCCTAGCCAGGCCCGACCCTGCTTAGCTTCAGACCCCAGTCCCCCGCCTTGGGCCAGGGGACCGAGCCCCACGATCTTCCCAAAGCGCCGGCGAACGCGCGGCGGCTCCGGCCCGGGCGGGGGCTGGGCCTCCGGCCGTTCGCGGCCAGAACAGCCCTGCGCCGCGCCAGCAGGGAACGGCTG